AATGACAATTTTAATGATAAAATGACGATGATGATAATGATGCTAACACTTGCAATTGTGGATTTAGATTTAGAAAATGTGTTGATGGTTTCTAATCTTGGACCAGTAAATAATATAAAATGGCATATAAAATTTGATATAACATGAATTTAAAACGATTCTAATTTTCTATGTGGGCCTATTGGAATGATATCGAGAAAAAATGGCATGACAGCCGATTAATGTATAAGCAAAATAAAATCACAAATAAAACATCAATTTCTAAAGCTGGGCACTCACTGCCTCATACGACTGTCGCATGACAAATCCAACTCCGCTCCCTGTGATTGCGACGCCGTCTGCTAGTTGTCGGTGGTAGTCTGAACAAATCGTCTTTAAAAACGATCCGTTGCGTGCGCGTCCGCGCGTTGCGTTTTTTCCAGAGTCGCATCTGACGACCACCGTCGGCCGCAGAGGGTAACCCTCTGTAGGGCCCTAATACAATGTTATCGTAACTACATTTCATACCAATCTACGACGAGAAGAACAATTGTTTTCATGCCTTAGTATAATGGTATATGATGCTTAGGCGGACACATTGATTAATATAGCCAAAGCAACATATATTGATTTTTGAATATTTTTTTAAACGGTACTATCATCAGCGAGTTCTGTTTGTGCCCTACCAATTCTAAAATGGTCAATCAGAGCAGAAAAAACAGGCATTTTATAATGATCTTTGTATGTTTGCAAATGTATATTGTAGTTCACCGACTGGCTTCAGGGCATGCACTACACACAATGTTAAAAGCATGTGTGACCTGCATAACATTATTTACTTTTGTTTTTGATAAACGGAATTATCTAACTTGTTTTAAGTAAATAATATTTTCAACCTGAAATTCTAATAAATTGAATAATTGACATAATAATTATTTTATTGCAACAAATGTCTAACCTTGTTGGCATCCCACTCCTCCCCATCCGTCCTCACAAAGATCACCGTCAGGACAACTTCCGTTATTTCGATCACATGTTGACGAGTTTTCACAGTGACAAAGTTTGGTGCACTGTGGGCCATAAAAACCCTCGGGACACTCCACATTCGGATCTCTCTCTGGCATAAAAGAACACATAAATATTACAACAATAGGAGCATTTACGATTTTAGTTATTTAACTCAACATATTATGCCTAATAGTGATAATAATAATATAGCAAATAATAGTGGTTATAAGGACATAAGAATAAAAATTATGATAAAATAATGACAAAATGAAATAATAATGATAAAATATAATAATTATGATAATAATAATAATAGGCTAGTAGTATTAACTAGAAACTATGTTCAATAGAACATAAGCCCAGTCAGATAATTCCTTGTAAATATGAGCTTAATTTGATCATACTGAAAATCTGACCTTTAAACCTCCCTCTTACTAGCTACAGCACAAAAAGGTGAACGTCTTCATCAAATTGCTCAACAAACTCAAAAGAACATACTGTGATGTTAATGTGACAGAAGTACACTTCAATCAATATTCTGGGCGTTTGACCCTAATGATCCCAATGCGTCCTTCACCCCAATTGCTTGCCACTAGTAACGTTTTGAAATGTTGCAAAAAAGAAGAATGACTTTGACACCAATTCCCGGAACATCATTAGGGCAATTTTCATATACGGCAGCTATCGGTTAGCAGGATCCAGATTACAAACATAGGCCTACGCACTAACCCTTGCTTTCATAAAAGAAATCTCCAATCCAGATATCCTGAAGATGATGATCGAATTACTCATTATTAATAGAAACGCCTCAACTTGCTAACCAAATGATAGCGCTCGATAACCATTAGCTTAATCGGATCCTGGTAACGGTTAGCGCTAACCGATCGGGCGTTCTCACACAAAAACACACTGACAGACAGAGCTCATTGCAATACCCTCACCCCACTTGGTGGGGCGAAGGTGGTAATAATAATAATAATAATAATAATAATAATGATAATAATAATAATAATAATAATAATAATAATAATAATAATAATAATAATGATAATAATAATAATATTAATATTAATGATAATAATAATAATAGTAGTATTACTAAATAATAAATAACAACAGTAAAAGCAGCAGCAATAGCAATGGCAATGGCAATAATGGATGGATGGATGGATGGATGGATGGATGGATGGATGGATGGATGGATGGACTGATGGATGGATGGATGGATGGACGGACGGACGGACGGACGGGTGGACGGGTGGACGGGTGGATGGGTGGATGGATGGATGGATGGATGGATGAATAGATAGATAGATAGATAGATAGATAGATAGATAGATAGAATTATATTTTTTATTCATGTCTTAAATACTTCCTTAATAAATTCAAGGAAATAGCACCGTTGCCGATCCAACTACAAGCTCATGTTAAAATATATATAAATTATACGTCATTAATTGTATTAATAACAATAATATTCAATAAAAAAATATTTAAACAATAATGACGTTGTTACTATTAATAACAATAATATATTTTTAATATAACTATAACTATAACAAATAATATTATTTAAAAAAAATCTTACATTATAGTAGAGTTAAACAGTAAAATATATTCAATAATACATTTATAATGTTAATATTATTTCAGCTGAGTATTCTTTATGCGTAGGCATGATAACACCTATTTTATCCCCCTTTTCACCAACTTTGAGCACACATTCTTTACCAGATAAATAAATCTTGGTTATATCAGGATTTTAAAATTGAGTTTTTACCTAGACAACGCGTTCCATTGTAACCAGAATGACAAGTGGCGTCTTCGTTACAACCTTTTGATAGCTGACATTCAGTAGCGTCACAGTGACAATCTAGAAGGCATCCTGGTCCATACTTGCCAGTGGTTGTAGTGTCACATTCTAAGTCACATCAACGAGAATATATATTCAAATTTACTTTGGAAATCACAAACATTATCTTCATGTATGTGAATATCATCTATTTAGATGCTTGTGTGTGATTTTTTTTTCTATATAATAAAACGCCAATGACATGAATTTTATTGTTTCTCATTTTTGATGTTTTATAATGATGAATGGATAAATGGATAGACAGATGGATAGATAGATATATAGATAAATAGATGGACGGGATGGATGGTTGAATAGATTGATGGATGGATGGATGGATGGATGGGTTGATTGACTGATCGATTGATGGATGAATTTATAGATAGATGGATGGTTGGATTGATAGGTAATTGGATGGGCGGATAGATAGATAGATAGGTTGGCGGATAGGTACTGTAGGGTAATGGAAAAATTGTTAGCCGGATGGATGAATGAATGGATAGCTGGATGGATGGATGGATGAATAGGTAGATAAATAAATAGATGTTAAGCTAAATGATGGATTGAATGATGGATCGATGAATGGATGGCTTGTCTGTCATTCATTCATTCGTTCGTTCGTTCTAGGACATTTTATAAATACATTAATATTTGTGTGTACACTTGCAGACATAATATGTAGACGCACGTTTGCGTTTAAGCTGTTGTAATAAACTGTAATAAATAATATACAGTAGCAGATCTGACAATAATCAACGCTTGACTATGCAAAAATCGCTGCCAAAGTCGAAAAAATAATGAAAGCAGGAGACAGCACGGTGGCACATGACGTCACGGACGTCGAAACACCGGAGTTTCATTAACGATCGTAGGCAGTGGCGGCTCCAGGATATATTTTCTGGGGGGGGGGGGGCTAAGCTCGACTTGACCTCGTAGGCTCGAGCTAGGAGAGGGGGGTTCCCCCTCTCAAATGAGATTTTTTTTTAAAGAATATCAACCTATAGATGGCCGAAAATGGCACTCTCAGACTGTGCCAGACATGTGTTGGCTTGGTGTGGGCCTATTTTTATATGTTTTATGGTCTGAATGCCCGACGAGCTCTGTCAGGCGGGGTGGGGGAAGCTTGACCTGTCCGGTGGGAAGGCTTAATCCCCCTTCCCCGCCACCCCGCTGGCGCCTCCACTGATCGTAGGTAAGCAACTACGCGTGGAAGAAACTGATGGCAACAGGAAGAAATTGCTTAGCATTAGAGTGGATGCGAGCCTTCAAAATTTACATTTCCATAATTGTAAATTCATCCTTCATCCTAAACGTATGTTAAATTTGGCATCTATTTGGAATCTAACCAAATCCAATCCATCTCACTCCTGTCCCCAGGGTCAACATACTTGTCGTGGCTAACGGGTCTGCTTTAAGTTTAATGCCTGGAAACCATGTCAGGCCCTAATGCTCCTTCTCTTGATAATTTAGTTTCCTCTCCTCTAGGTGTCATTCCAAAGTATGAATCATTCATACCCCCACGGTGCCTCTGTCAATTCGGGCATTCACAAGAGGCTTCACGATTATCTTTTGACTCAATAGATAATGTTATAACTTTAGTGTAAAAAATGCACCAGGATTGTTAATGGCAAAACTGATAGTGAAGACGCTTCCCGTATAATACCAATCCACCCGGACGATTGTATTTTAGGTTTTCCTTGTATATTGCTTTAATTTACTTTACTTTATTATTATTAATGTCACACCAATTTCTGGCCAGCCATACGAGTGACAAACAAATATACAATAACAAAATTATAATTCGTGACAGTGCATTACAAACTCAAAGGGGATAAATGAGAACAGATTTACTACTGCTGTTTAAATTCTTTTTAAAGTACGAGAAGATTCTAGAATACTGTGTGCATATTTAGCAATATTTAGGACAAGGTCACCGTTGGACATCAAGAAGATAAACTTATCAGTATCAGATAATGAAATGAATGTAGGATGCGTGTTATTTAATTTTGAATATAACACCTTTCTGAGGCTGTGTTTATACTACACTGTTGGATTGAACACGGTGTTGTGTCATTGAACACTAATCACCGCTGAAGGCCGTTCAACCAAAGACACTCATTTATACTTGTAATTTTGAAACCGTGTTACATCAAATAGCATTGCATTTTGGGGTATGTGGTCAAATCAACAATTTGTTTTTATCCCCAAATGCTGAAGAGTGCACACCTTAACTGTACTTTCCGTCCAGCCCATTGTTTGTAAACACATTCTACAGTAGGCCTATCCCTATACAGCGGTCTCACTATAGAACAGTGGAAATGAATAAACTCTACCTTAATTTGCTTTTTGTTTTGCTACAACTTACAAACGAAAATTAAAAATCCTGACAAAATTCAAGATTACTCTCTTAGGTTTAACTTGAACATCTTAATCAATTGATGATATTCTGTTAGAGAATCATAATGCTTACAAATTATAAAACATTGAAATTCGTCCTTGATATCATTATTACATAAATGGCAAATTCCTTCATCCGTAGGGATATTATTGTATCTGCCTGTTTCAATGTAAATAACTTACACAATTTAGCCATCATTATTTCAACTATCTTAGACCGTTCAGCGAATTCCTTAGCATTTCTCTCACATGTGTCCCCAAGACTTTTAAATGAGAACTGCAATGTATACCCCTTCCGTGAGTGATTTCAAGGAGTCATGCACAAAACATTCAAATCCGCTCTCAGCTGTACCTGCATTCCGTCCGAAATCGATCTCTAAGATCCATTTCGATCGTATTTCTTACAAAACTGGGCTGTAATTCACAAGAGCGGCAAGCCCAAGCGAATATCAGAAATAGACCTTCAGCAGGAAATTCAATAGAATCACCACCTATCGAGCTCCACGTAACACGTTTGCACGCCACGAGGTCCAGTACAGATTATATTTATCTATGTCTGTATGTATTATTTAGTAATAAATGACACATTTTGTAGTGATTTTCCTATATGACATGTTGCTTTTGTAGCGTGACAATTCCTCATCCGTTATTTTCTAGGTTCATAGACTTGTTTTTGTTAATGATATTTGAATTGACACAAATATGATTTTAATAATGGTAAGACATTCAAAAGAAGTGTATGTATACTATGTGTAGTGTATGTAAAAGTGAGTATATGTATTGTGTATGTATGTATGCATATATATTGTGTGTTATATATATATATATATATATATATATATATATAAGATTAAATATAAATATAAATGTTTTGTATTTAGCTCTACCCCGGTATCGAGCACTCTACTCCAGACGATCTTGAACCTTATACCACAAATACTGTATATATATTAATATATGATATTGAAGGGAGTTAGCCGTTAACACTGTTGAATAAATATAATATAAATCACCAAAGGTACATATACAGTGTTTCAATAAGGACATGATGGAACATCGCAGGCTACCCTGTAGCTTCTTAACGAATAAAGTCCTGTAAAAGTCATTGTGTAATAAAATTACAACGGGATTCGAACCTGCGACCTCTCACTGACAAGGCGTCATAACTAGACCACGAAGGCTTCATTGTTGAACCGGTCCAAGTAACCGTCGGGAACATTGTATTACACAATGCTACGCCTCAAGATGGCGTTCGGCTAGATAAATCTGGCAATACAGCTAGATATACTGTCGTATATTATATATGACATTGAAGGGAGTTAGCAGTTAACACTGTAAAATAAATATAATATAAATCATCAAAGGTAAATATACAGTGTTTAAATAAGGACACGATGGAACATCGTAGGCTACCCTGTAGCTTTTGAACGAATAAAGTCCTATAAAAGTCATTGTGTAATAAAATGGCTCCCACGGGATTCGAACCTGCGACCTCTCGCTGACAAGGCGAGCGTCATAACCACTAGACCACGAAGGCTTCATGGTTGAACAGTTCAAAATACCGTCGGGAACATTGTATTATACAATGCCACGCCTCAAGAGGGCGTTCGGCCAGATAAATCTGGCAATACGGCTAGAAATACTGTCGTATATTATATATGATATTGAAGGGAGTCAGCCGTTAACACTGTTAACAAGGCGAGCGTCATAACCACTAGCCCACGAACGCTTCATGGCTGAACAGGTCCAAATAACCGTCGGGAACATTGTATTACACAATGCTACGCCTCCGTCGGAGGCATTTTATTACACAATGACTTTTATAGGACTGTACGGTATTCGTTGAAAAGCTACAGGGTAGCCTACGATGTTCCATCATGTCCTTATTTAAACACTGTATATGTACCATTGATGATTTATTATATTTATTCTACAGTGTTAACGGTTAACTCTTTAATATCATATATAATATACTTTATTATTTTATTATATATATTAAAATATATTATATATATATGTGTATACATATATATATATACATATATATATATATATATATAATA